GTAATAAAGTAATAGCAAAATGTTCTTTATTTTGCAAACATCTAGATCTGATTTCTAGTTGGATTAGCTCTTAGCTAGAGTCCGCTTTTTTTCTCTAACACACCCTACGGCCGCTAACAGCTTCTGTAATTATACCACTGCTGCCAGCTATCTGTCATGGTCCGTTAGGATGAAGGACACAGAGCTCCCGAAATACAGAACACTGATATGCACGGGTCTTTCACACGCCACGTACATTAAAATAGTTCGCTTTAGTGCACTCTATTCCTCTATTCGAAGCCATTTGCATGAAATACTTATCTCTGTCGAAAAAGTACTACCACCTAGTTTACACGACGTGACTAGACACTTACCGCTCGTAGGGCACACCCTGTCTGTCTCAGGTAAAGTTAAGATATTATTAGTATTAACAGACATTTCTTGCCTTAGTACGTGAGGTTTTTAATTCTAACTTATTTCTATTCACGGTTTGCTGCTTACTTATCTTTGCACCACTATCACTTTAATACCAATCGATACCTATAGAATGGCATGTTTGATACTAAAAAAATAATTCCAGAATTAGATCGATAATAAAAGATGGTGCATTTATTATTTTATGTAGACATACAGCTCTAGCCAGTATGTCAACCGTCAAATAGTGTGTACATGTGATGTAGGTACACTGTTAAGTATGCCACTCAGGTACGAAGTGCAAAGTAAATTTATGTGTAACTTTATAATGTTTCGTTTTAGAACTATGGTATATCGTTCTATTCGGGTATATAATTTAAAAGCTCTAAATTCAGTAGCAATTGGTCTTTCAACCTAACACACAAAAGTATTTATTCTAGATTTGATGTTTCAGCAATAAATTTTAGCAGCGCGTTTTATTGTAATTAGGATCAACTGGGGCATAGACAGACTTCACTTCCTGTTGCCTAACGGCGATACCGGACATAAAGCTCGAAACGTAAAGGATCAATTTTGCGTGTTTGGTCAGTCAGTTTACAACGGTATATTCAAGTTATTACCAGTGTGTTCGTTAGCTCACCTATCACGGTTATTTTTAGAGTTAGAGACTCAACGTGCTTTCCCATCTAATCCACTTATAGATACCTGGACTTAGTTGTCCGGGATGTCTCCTGTACATGAGATGTAACAATGCCATTATTGACGCTACTGAAGTGGCCTGTCATCATAGGGTAACCCCGATGGTATTTACACCGCTACCGTCGATTTTTTAAATGTAGAACTCTCTGTCCCCATTGGGCATCTTGGCACGGACATTTTTTTTTGTTCGTCCAATCATGTATCCGTAGAAGACATTTCTCGCTCAATATTTTATAGTCCACATGGTTTGTTCGCTTATTTGGAGTTCTTGCAATTCTAAACCTAACTTCTGTGTCTGCCTTTTCTACATGAGCTCATCGTATAACCGTCGTGGCATACTTAACAAAACTTCAACCGGAGAGAGTATTTCCTATTCTTCACAGCAGACCTAGGTCAGCACCCTTAGAATGATCTGTGGATATAGAAGTTGCGACGACCAAACGTCCAGTTATTCTGAAAACGCTGTACTCTCCATTATTTAGTTTAGCGTCGGCGTCGTTTAATAGGCATTAAACACAGTTCCTTAAAATGATATAGCATTTTTGCTAGAAATGCAGCTACTTACATCTTCGATTCTGTACAACGATGATCATAAGAATATTTCCTTAAAAGGTATTAAGGGTTATGTAATTACTTCGAGCCAAAATCGTTCGTACAAACAGTATATAAAAATGTTTATCTTTGACGCAACAAAAAATCGAGTTGCACGCCAAACCAACAAGAAAACTTGTTTTTTAGGACCTTGCTACAAATTTTAGCAGACCGTCGGTGTCTCAATCGGATGATTCATAAACCGGACCGTTTGATATAACTTAGCGTATACGGCAGATATTAAAATCAAAGTAAAACTACATATTATAAATTTTTTTTTCTAGGAAGTCCTGTAAATATTTGTTCTTCCATTTATACATACGTATGCACAAATCTTCATAGTGAACTTACTCTTGTTCTCATTGAACTTTTACGTCTCTAAGTTAGCCAATAGGTGGATGAGACTAGCCTTCAATTGTGCCACATTCCAGGTCGAGCTGCACGTTACTGTCAAGCATTATTTTCATATGTAATTGTTCCCCTATCGTAAGTGACGATTAAAAAATGCTTACGTAAAATTTAGAATTCGCGAAGACTCTATCACGGGTTGTCTTAATATTTTTATCTTGGTGAAACTGCCCAATTCGTGCAGTTTGTCGCAGCAACACTAGGCAACGTCGCGATCGGAAGGCCATTAACGTAGAAGCGGATCAGGGCCTCATTTATTTAGCTTATGTTTGCGCATACACCCTTATGCGCTCGTAAAAATTACTTTCGTTAAAGGCAGTATCGTGTCGTGTTGGCTACTGAACATGGTCGACGTCTACAGTTGGGTTGTGGTCGATTAGATTACTGGCCACTGAATAGATTGCATACTTATTTCACTGTATGCCCTATGACCTACCGTCATAACCTAATTGTTTGTCGCCTCCACCATTTTTACAAATATTGAATTAGTATCTAAGCAAATGGTACAGGTCAAATATGAGCGTCATCACCTACCTTCTGGGTCGAATGACTTGTTGTCCTATTTTAGTGAGCAGGAAGGCAATTGTTAATAGCCAAAATTGACAGTGTTTCAATTAACACAACAGACACCTCAAAAAACACACCAATCACAGCACGACTGAAGTACAAGAGGATTTCAAAAGCACAAAATGCGAGTTATAAATGCAAACGCTCTTTTTCTTTGTCAGGAAGGCATACGGACGAGCACAGGACGAAGGTCTGAGGGTGCGGCCCCAACAGGACAGCCATTGAAGACCACCAACGCAATCCGCCCTCGCTGCTGCCGTTGCCGCTCAGCAGGGCAGTTTGTAGGGGGCGCTACCTCCGTGGAGAACACTCCCAACATAAGGTCCCCGTCTCCCTGGTCTCCCCTTAAATTCCACTCCACTGTTTAGTGGGAGAGCGCCGTAAGACAGAGCTGCTATCGTTACTAGCACCAACGCACATTGATAATGATCTGGCTATGCGAGATGCCTCGAACTCAGAGGCTTTGGGAACAGGAAAATACGAAATATCTGCTTAAATCGTACAAGTTCCATAGGCTACCTATGTTTAGTAGTATCTAGCGTCGCTGGATACTTTCGAAAGAGGCCGAAGAATGCGTCACTCGCACAAGCAGAACGATATATATCTACATATATATATAAATATAGCTTTGCAGGTGGTTTTTGGGTTAGACGACATATCAACGCATTCGCCTTCTAATCAAATGTACAAAGCATTTGCGAATCTTCGTTACATCAGCAGCGGACTTTATAGTGCTTTTTATCGGCATTCTTGGATTAATCCGTTAGTCAATTTTGAGTTATGTCGGGTAACTCAAAAATTCTGAAAGAAGCTGGAATCACAAGAAGCATTCGTTGCAGGCGCGTATTGAGTCCGTTGTAAGCAGCACCTATTGGCCACATCCTTGGGTAGACCCAATGGCTCGTCCAGCAAATGCTACATAGTGATATCAAGCCCATCAGGTTTAATCAGATCAAGTTCTAGAGATAAAGCACCAAGCATCTCAGCTGTTTCCGCTTGATTTTCAATTAATGGGTAAGCATTATCGCATTGGTAATTTATCAGCGTTGCAATAAATTGAAATGGGTTCGTTTTGTCCAGAAAGTTTTCTCCGTGCATCTGAAATCTAAAGCTTGAGTTTCAGTAATGATTTTCTAAACTCCAATAAAAATTTCATTTGTTTGCATGTCCTGTTTTGCTTTGTCTTTCCTTACGTCTTGTTTGTTGTCAAACGTGTCTTCATAAATATTATTGAAGCCAACATATAAATGTTGTTTCCACTGGTATATGATCATTAAATAGTGTTGTTTTGCTAGTTCTTACTATTTATTTTGACTCTTAAGTGTACTTCGCGCATTGTGAAGGCCTTCAAGGTTACCCTTTCCGCACTTACCGCTATCTTCAACTTGTCTTATGTGTTCGTCCACGGCATTCGTCATCTCTCCTGTTAAAATTTCATTGCGCAAACAGCGCCCTCTCAGTCGACGCGCGTTCAGTATTTAGCGGAAGCGCGCTCAAGCGTTAGCGCGTAAACAAGTCTGTGTGTAGGTTTTTCTCGGAAAAGAGAAGTTCGAATGAGACGGTCGAGCGACGGGGGGGGGGACCGTCACAAAAACATTGGAGCCTCATGGTTCTACGAGTAAATCGAATAAGTTTAGAAAAGTGGTTGGGTACTATGTATGTTTAGGTGATTTTCGAAGGATCTAGTTAATTGTTCAGGTTCATTGCTTGGAACAACAGGTGGGTCTTTTCTTAGACAAAGAATAGAGCCTACTGCTTCTTCAGCTATTACCATTACTGGTCTTCAACGCTCGTGCTAAAATCATGTTTCCTGGAGACGAGCCGGCGAGCAAATATCTAAAGATGCGTGTCGAAAGAAATGAGAATATCTAAGCATGCTGAAAGTTTTTATATACAAAACAAATTACATACTAGGTAATTATCATAACTTTCACTTCTTACGCTACTCTGGACAGGGGTAATAGAAAACTATTAGTCCCTATAGCTGTGAGTGGTTATGGCTATGCGGGCTTAAAAGTGCCTCATGATATCTTAGGGGTAGCATATCTGTTTGATAATCTTAGAAACATGTTGTAGTCTAGGTTCGAACTCGGGCATAGATACACTTTGATTCGTGCTGAGAGCCAGCTATTTGGTGGAATACCTACTCGAAACATAAAGAACATAGGAAATGTGATAAATTAATTTACGTTATTAACTTCTGCTAATATATATATA